CCTAAGAAGACCCCTCTCCGCCCCCCGGCATGCGTGATGGTATACGTGTTGTGGTGGTGTGTTCATGTGTTGTGGTGGTGGGAGGGCTGTGTTGTCGCGATGGCGGGGGCGGCTTCTTGTTCGTTTGCGGTTGTGTCGTTTTGCCATTGTTGGCCGTGGTTTCCCTTGTACCGGTATGTAGGAGATGTGTGGTGGTTTTCTTTTTCTTGTCTTGTTGTATGTACCTTCAAGTACCAGTACATACCTCCCCCCCGTACCCAACCACCACAGGAATCCCCTCAACCGTATCTAGCCGTCGTAGATGTACGTGGAAAAACTTCTAACCCCCTCTTCACAGCCAATCCAAGCCAATCCAAAAAGTTGAATCACCACGGCAAAAAGAAAACCTCGGCTCCGCAAAGCGCAAAAGACGACTCCCTCGCACGACATGGGCACCCATCTTATACGTATCCCTCCCTGCGCTTACCAGACCCAAGACCGACGACGCACGCCCATCACGACATAAGACAAGACGGTCCAGTCAGACTTTGATCCTGGGCATTGGGCCAGATTTGGGTGCGAAACAGGGTGGAAAAGTGCAAGTGAGTCAGAGCCTCATTCATCACACGACAAGGGAGATTGTCGGGATGACAGCGGAGGTGGGGCCTGCTTGGGTGGCAAGGGGGAGTCATCGCGAGAGTTCCGACAAGGCTTCTTTCTTCCTCTCTCTCTCTCTCTCTCTCTCTTTCATGGCACCTTTTTCTTCTTCCGGGTTTTTGGTGTGCGAGGTGATGGGTGCGTTGGCGCGACTCACCGTTCAGTTTGGAGTTGGACGTGGAGCTCTCTACTGGTGGCATCGGCGTTGTACCGGTACCGGTAAGGTATCAATCCGTCGCATAGTCACTCAGGCGCATGGTGTGTACATACTCTACATACATACACACACACACACCCACTGTGGCCATATGACAGTCACAACCACCAAAACCCCAACCCCCAACAGTCTTGCGCAGGCATCCAACCCCCCCGAATTCCAAGACATTGCGTACAGACTGCACAGTACGCATGACATGTACACTGCCAGCCTTCCAGCCCTTGCCTAGATCTGCAAGCCACGCGACCCCCGGCTCGGTCCAACTGCAGCCTGCAGGTACCCTGCCTTGCGGCTCTGGCAATCCTTGACCGCCTGGTTGATGCCAACTGTGTGAAGAAAAGAGGGATGGAATGGGACAGTACTACTACAGTAGAGGGTGTGGTGTTGCAAGTGATGCCGGATGACGCATCGGTAGAGTGGGGGTGGTGCTTGGACAGCTAGGTTGGACTGACGACGTGTGTACTTGTACAAGTGACTTGTGCTGCATGTGTGTAGCTATGTATACATGTATGTATTCGTAGGTATCGACTAAATGCACAAACTCCATGTACATGCAGGATATGCAGTCGATTAGGCAAATAGATGGATACACTTATCCAACTCATCATTAGGTACTCCCACGTTGGACCGAATGGAATAATGTACTTTTCAGGAACTTCACTGCTTCCTGGCTATCCAAAACGACGGTCGATACGTGCTCTGCAACATGCTACGCGGATTGCTAATGTACCCCGTCTCGCACATCTTCTCATCATGCCGTTCTACTGAAAATCCAAAATGTTCGACAAGTCCAATCACTTCCTCGTTGGTCAGCTCGACAGAGCCTGGGTCCCCAATGCCTGCATCGCCTGCTCCACCCTTTCCGTCGTGCTGCCTCTGATTCTTGTCACCCTCGTCGTCCTTTCGTGCTGCATGATGCCACAGCAGTGGACCGAGGTTGATCCATACTCCGCCGGGCTTGAGGCAGTTGCGCACAGTTTCAATGTAGCGAATCAGGTTCGGCGCCGTGTCAATGAAGAAGACCGTCGTCACCGCATCGAATGAACCTGCATATTCCATGCTCTTGTAGACAACGCAAAAGTCGCCCGTTGCCATGCTCATCCGTTCATGACCAGGGACACTGGACTGCTGAGCTCGCGACAACTCGTCACTTGGGTTGATGTCTGGTATCTGGCATGTCTGGAATTGATCGGCGCGCGACACGTGGTTCGAGCCGTTGAGGGCAAAGGGCGCAATCTTGAAGGCCCTGGCACCCTGCACGTGATTCAATAGAAAGGAACTGGCCATGAGTTCGTGGTAGGAAATCTCGTTGCCCTCGACGCTGAAGCCAGCACAGCATACATCAAAGACGAAGCGGCCCAGACCAGCGCCAGGAGCGAGAACCTTGAACGCTGCACGATCCAGGGCGGGATCCATTTCCGCTCTCGACGTAAACTCGACTTGTAGAGCGGAGATGACTGGTTCGAAACACTGGGATCGCTCGATTGCGCCTTCTGCACTCCATTCCCGGTAGAATTGATGGATGCAGCTTCTTGCCTTTTCCAGGTCAGTCTTGGACGTCTGCACATTCAAGTGATCCATCACAATCGAGTAGATCCGGTACTCGTCGTGTGCATACTTTTCAGGCACTATGGAAGCAACCCAGTCACTATCCATCGTCGGCGCAAGGAAAGCCTTGAAACCAGCCACGAATATGGATTCAGCCAACTCTGCATTGCCATCGATCAAGTCGTCCAACTTGGATAGCGAATCCAGGATGGAAAAGGGTGGTTTGGACAAAAGCATCCAGTGCTCCTGTGGTAAGGAGTAAAACGCCTGTCGACGCACATGAGTGCCATTAAAGTGCGCTAGGCGGCGGTAGGATCTAAAACTGTCAGTCGCTTGTCCCGTGTGTAGGAAGCAGGGAGTTTCGTGCTACCGGAATGAATCCAAGACGGACAAGAGATGTCTTTGCTCTTCTGGATCCGCCATTGGATCGAACTCGCCTTCCCACTCTTTTGCTGCCATGGGGGGCAATGTGTAATTTGTTCACTACACCCAGTGCGCCGCGTCCTTGTATGCTCGACCTGCTCACAGCCGAGTTGTAACCTCCAGTACCTAGTAAGATCCAAGATTTGAACGTCCTTTCAGACCAAGTCCACGGGTGATGGTCTACAAGAACGTCAGATGAAGGAAGCTTGCGCACTTAAGTCCGATCCATTTCCGGCTCTAAGCTTACCGGTACCCCACCACCACCACCACCAACATGGTCACCTCAACTCGCCCTGGCAAGCTAAACCCTCACCTTCAACATGGCAGGTGAGATGCCAAATGGCCACGCGCCACATGCGCCAATAGAAGTTTCCTTCCCATTGCCCAAAGCACCTCATACCAATCTGCACTTGCAGCTCACCAACAATGGCCCCAACTTGCTGCTCTTCCTAACCACCGCCACGCCTGAATCAGCGTCTTCTTCCCCACTGGGCTCATTCGTGTACGCTATGCCCAATGTAAGTACCCCTCTAGTTTGGCCCTACAATGAGGCTCCTAAAGCGTGCTTTCACCATACTCGCCAGCAGAGTGCACGAGGAAGTCAGAGCTAATCATTCATGGCAGAGAGCTACACCAACAGATACACTGAGCACACCCCTCTTCACCCATGGCGGAACCCTGGATTTTGCAACGCGGCTGTCAAAAGTCCTTGCGCGCAAGACAGGGAAGCCGGTCTATGTAGGTAATTCCGCCAGCTTTGCGAGTGCAGGCATGGGCGGCACTGTCGAAGAAGAGATGGAGGGGTTCAAGAGGGTGGTGGAGGTTGTCATGGGTTTGCTGGGGAAAGGCTAGGGGAATGTGGTAATCGATCGGGGAAAGGCCGTACTGGATGTAGACTGCACGCACAACACCTCAGCTCACGCGACAGGAGAGAGCCATATTCGAGCTGGAAAACAATGTCCCAATGATGGCGGAAGGGAGTCACGACACACGAGGGAACTCAATACGCTTCTGGACATTTTACAATCATTACTCCACGTTCTATACTCTAAAGCTGAAAAGCTTCGCATTTCCCTCCAAAAACATGCAATCCACACCATCTACACATCTTTCAGCCTCTCCTCCACGCTCCTCTTCGCCTCATCAGACGTATTCGGGTTATTCAACGTCGCCTTGAGACCGCCAGTAACATTATTGGAATTCCTCTCTCCACCAGACTTGGACGCAGATTCGACATCTCCAACATTCTCCGCGTTCTCGAGAACCTCGCGGGAGTGCTGCTTCGACTCCTCAGGGGTATCTGCAATGCTGTTAGTATCTTGCAGCATGTAACGAACGCAACAGTCGTACTGGGTTTATTGAGATTAGCTTTGTGGCCTCCAATCACGTTTCCAGAGTTGGCAGACATGGCGATGTTGTTGTTGTTGGAGTGATTGTGCTGATTACGTTGGAGTGAGGATTGTTTGTAGTGAATTGCGAGGAGCTGGGTGATGACTTGTTAGCAACTAAAGCATGAAACAGATAAAGGGCCTTCATACACCTCCTCACTGAGCCCTCTTGACAAACTCAAACTGTATCTCCCCCCGCGCCGCGCATTGTTAATTCTATCTGAGTCTCTAAATTATCCCACACATAAACAATCGCAAATCAAGACGTCACAATTATAAGAATAGAACTTCTATCTAGATATCTGTACTAAAAGTATGGGCGAGTAAGCTTAGTTTGTCCACTATTGTAACTCACCTTGTCTGATAATATAAAGCTTATACTTTATCTTGTGTTATTACTAAGACTGTGAGCTATGGTATTCCCACATCATTGCTACTTTGTGCACGTTAATTTGTACAGATGTCACGATAGAATGCCGATAGGTAGTAAATCCACTAAGATACTTGTTCCTTGAGATTAACTCGCTCGCTTAGGAAACATTACTATGTGATAGAGGCTTATAACAATGTTGTTTCCAGTCCATCAAGGACATCGTCTGGGATTTCTTTTGCCGATCGGTGGATATCTCTCAAAAGGCTCAGAACCTTTGTCATTGCTCTTATATTACGACGGCTTTCACTTGTAGCGTCTGGGTCAGACATCTCAATCCTCCTCTTCCCACTGAAGTCAAAAAAGCGGACTAAAACTGTTGGCAAAAATGGATGGACCTTTTTTTTTTGAACAAAAAGTTAGGAAACCGAAATCAACAGCTCGGCAAAGAGACCCATGAAACAGGGAAATTCGACAACTCACTTTGAAACCACTAAAGCACAACAGACTCTCAGCCACTCGCGTCCGGTCTTTGGCCGCTATATATGCTTGCTGTTTGTACACCGAGCGTAGCTCTTCTTGCTCTGCACTATGCCATTGCCAAAGATCAGCCGTCTCAACCAGGTGAAGGATTAGGGTTGGGACAAAAAAATGTGTGAATGCTAACATTGGATCATCTCCGAAAATGTTGGGTGTTGACTCTGGAGCCTGGAGCAGTCGCCTTTGTTTCTCTATAGCACTCATGAGCCAATTGTGCCTCATCCAGAACTTGGTGCTCTCATTGCCACTGCCACCGGCAATTGAAACCAGTCTTCTATGGGTCGCACAACAACCGTAAAGGGCCATCAAAGCCACGCATGTAGCGAAAGGTGAGAGTGAATCATCGTTACCTTCACCCATGACCTCGGATAAAAGTGGCATGTTCGTGTCTTGCGAATGTTGGAAGCTCGCCTCTGAGGCCGGTACACGCATGCGGATCTGCAGGTCGTACATTAGCGAAGCCCCCTGGAAGTGGCCTGGGGAAAATAAAGAATGCCCATGTTGAAAACCCACCATTTCTTCGGGAAGCGCCCAGTTCAAATCGTCCCGTGTGTTCAATAGACGATCGAAGCAAAATGCTAGCCAGAACGTTCTTCTTTTCTCTTCCATGACTGCAAAATCTTCTTCGGTCGCAGTTGTAGTGTGGCTTCCAACTTGAATCAGACAATCGGAGGCGTCGAGATCGCCAAGACGGCATCTCTGTACCAGACGCAAGGCGCGGGATGTCGCGGATGACGCCTGGCTTTTATCCATACGCATATGTTCATAGACGGCTAGCAGTAACCAGGATTGTATGTGCTCAATCTGGATATTTTTGGCACCCCAAGGTAGAGTGTGTTCGTTGCTTTCTAGGCTTTCCAGGCTCTGTAGCGTCTCAAGGTATAGCCTCTCACCAATGTCGTGGTATCGAGCAGAGAATGCTGCGGCGGAAGTGCGTATCGCCAAGCGCAAGCATACGCAAGCGGGCAGTGGATCCTCTTGTTCCATCAATGTTATATACCGAGCTTTGTGAATGATCGGGGCTGATTGATATACTCGGTCGAAGAATAGCTGCTCCCTGTCAGGCAGCAATTAGAAGAATGTCAAATGTAAGTATTTGTCTTTGGGAATAGTTGGCTCACAAGTCGGCCTGTACTAGAGCTGATAGGGACAGACTGCTCAACGTGGAAGATATATGAGAGTCGTGTGATTCGGCTCCCAAGGCCGGATCTAACGGCGTCATGCCATTTTTTGGCCAGGAAGTTGATGAGGCGATACCAAAGATCAATGTTTCCATGCTCTCGGGCTCAAATACATTGACATTGGGCTGTATACACTGTGAAAATTCATCCGGCTCCGCCGCAGTCGAATCTTGGAAATCGTAAGTCATGTTCCAGGTTGCATCTTTGGCGGCGAGTTGTTGCTCCAACGTCCCTGACCATGCCTATTAGTGTTTCCTGTCGTTTATAGGCGTCGAACTATCCCTCATAGCAGCTCACTAATTCGTGCCCGTAATGCCTGCAACTGTCCCTTCTTGGGACCGCGTTTTCGACTGTCACCAGGAAAGACACATTCGCTTTCCGACAAAGCACAAGTCCCACACTGAGGGCGGACGCGGTCACATTTCAATTTCCGGCGACGACACTCGTCACATGATAAGCTTGTTCGTCGATCATGCGTTGTATCCATGGTAGAAGGGTTTTGTCTCAACTGTGAGTATACTCACCGTGGGTCAGGTAAGTGCCAGATATTTGCATGATGCGCACAAACCAGTTCCGTGTAGTATAGGAAGGCCTGCAAGGCGAAGGCCAGATCCAAGGGATCAACAAAACCCATTCAGTAATACTTCACTGCCTCATCATGCAACCACCCTGCAGCTCAGGTGAGTGTGAACAGGATATAGACACATTCGGTTGCATACCGACTAGTCCCCGTACTGTTAGAGAGCCGGATCGAGCCGGGCCTCTGGGGTATCTAGACTGGGCGAGATGACGGTGCAGGGATGGCTAGAAAATATTTAGTATAATACGGGAACTAGCCGGCATACAACCTGATGTGCTTACATCTTCACGCTTCTGCTCGCCACAGGAAGGGGGTTTGGTCTTACGGCCAGGGCTCGCTGTTTCAGTCGCGCCGTCGGGAAGTGGATAGGGAACGACGGTGAGTTGATTATCCTGCAGAACCACAAAGGGAGCTTCGGTCCGATGGCTGACCACAGGCCGCGCTGTACTGAATCTATTAGACGTCAAAATCCTAGTTAATATTTCTCCAAGAGCGACCGAAGATCTGGCCTAAAGTTGATATTTTTCCAAATATTGGGTTTTCTGATCGCTAGCTTCATCTTTTGCATAAGAGATGGAACCCGTTGTCGGCAGACTGTGACTGATTTTCTAGGGATGATCTAATGTGTCAATTTCAAAACGTCACATGTAAGCAGGTAGGACATAAAACCATGGCGCTAACAATGTTGTGGTTATCTTTGGCAGATCTTTAACTGGATGTTCATCAGCGGCGTTGAACTCCGTCAGACTCCTCAACCAATCACAATACATTAAAAATCTCCTTATAACTATTCCTCAATATGACGATACTCGCCGCATAATTATAGGACTTCAGCAATGGCTGATATTATGCTGTAATTAAATACAAGAATGAGGCAAAAAATACAATTCCGCACATTGCTATAAGGGATGTGTCTCTAAAGGTTAGTGTTGAAGGCGTGATCACTAACTTAGGAATTTAGTGGCAGCTCTATCATTGCATTGTAACTTGGCATTAAAACAGGTCTCGATCAATACACACATACTCGATGTGGACCTCGCTCGTATTAAAGGATGAGTTGGCCTCAAAATCAGCGTCTAGACCAGCTTTGCGAGCAAATTGAGTGAAGATCCTCGTAAGCAGAGGTAGTGGAGATTCGTGTCAGCGCAGGGTAGGGTGGTAAATGGGTATAGGTTGGGTTAGGGTTAGGTTGGCTTATGTTAGACCCTGAACCTAACCTAAACCTAATCACAAATTTTCGCACAGGCTATAGACTTAGGTTAGGTTTAGGTCGCACAGGCTATAGGCTTAGGGTAGAGTTAGGTTACATAGACCTTAGGCTTAGTGTGGAAATTTGGATCACTAAGGTTAGTGTTGCAGGAGGGATATCAATCGGATCACGGAGCATCTTGATCCGATCAACCCTGATCAATACCCCTGTATGACCCACTATCTGATCAACTGCCAGCTCACTGCTAAGTGCCCAACAAAAAGCAGGAGCTCTAGTAAGGAAGGTTTACTAATTATTCACCTTCTAGTAAGGGTAGCTAAAGCTCTATATATATAAGTACGATTATAGTAGATATAATCTAATAATCTATCTCTTAAATTATTCCTAACCTTAGTAATCTAAATTTCTACAGTTATAAGCCTAGTTCACGCTTTACCTTATTAAAGATTGTCCTATCTATTTAAGCGTATTATTTAACTTAGATACTAAGCTAGCAAGCTTTACTCTTTCTTTATACTATTTCTTAAGCAGAAGCTTACTTATTACTCTTCTACTATAAGTAACTAAATCCTAAAGGGGGATATCCTACTTACTAGATTAACTAACTAGCCTACCTAGTATATTTAATTTAGATACTATGCCCTAACTAAAGGGATCTAGGTAGAGGTAGACCCTAAGGCTTAGGATACTAAAAACCACTTTAAGAATAAACCTATTAAGCCTAATATGCTAATAGATATCGCGCTATCTAATATAATAAGCAAGCAGTATAAACTTAAAATAGCTTAGTACTAAGCCTACTTATTAGATTAGGTATTAAAGTTATTAGTAATCTAGAACCTTTTTATATAGGTTAATAATATAGTAGATTAAGGGATCCTTACCCTAGCCTATATAGAGCTTATTAATTAAGGAAGAGTAACCTTCTAAGCACTTATCTAAGTACTCTGCAATAACCTAGCGCTAACTAATTTAAGCGCTGTAACACTAGCAAGATTATAGTATAAAGCTTATCTTGCTAAGGTAAAGATAAGTAGCTAAGATACTAATTACTAGTAGAAGGAGTAGACAATCCTATATACGCGAGCTAAGGTATATAATATTCCTAATATTAAAGGATAGCTTATAGTATAGGACTATCCTAAAGCTCTATTTACTAGGATCTTACTAGATTAGGGTTAAACTATATTTTAAAGGATTATTAAAAAGTTACTAGTAGGAGAGCTAACTTATAACCTTCTATAGGTTACTAAGATCTACTTGTTACTACTCTAAGAAAATAATATAAGATTAAGCTCTAAGGGTCCTAGAGTGTTTGCAATAATAGGAGCTCTACCTTCTAATTAACCTAAGAAGGAGTCTTTATACCTATATAGTAGATCCTACCTATAGAAACCTCCTAAATATAAAAATATTATTAAAGCTTAGACTAATATAGGTAATAAGCTTACTACTACTTAATAATTAGAGATTAAGAAAAAGATTAATAGGAATTAAAAATTTAAAGAGTTAAGAAAAGCTCTAATTAAATCCTATCCTATTAATTAAGATTATAGTAGTAAGGCAAGCGCAATTACCTATCTAGGCAGTATCTAGGCGGCACTAATTAACCCTATATTAATAGCGGAGAAAACAAACAGGATCTATTTAACTATAGACTTTAAAGCTTACGCTCTATTAAAGAGCACTATCTTTAATAACAGGGGTGTAGTACACCTAGTTAATAATATAAGCTACCTAGAAGAAAGCTTGTTTAGATTAGTTAAATATAAGATAGTTAAAGCAGGAACTTAAGCTTTTCTAATCTTAGGTAGAGGGACTAGAGTAATCCCTAATACTCTTAATAGACTAAGAGGTCTAAAAATAGAAGATTTAGTGCTTACTAATATAGTATTAGTAGAAGGTTTTTATGTAAATATTATATTAGAAGCTTTATTGCTTAAAGCAGGAGTTTAGTTCCTTAGGCTAGATGCTACCTTGCAGTTTAGATTATTAGGAAAGAGCGTTGTATTAGCCAAGTTACTGCGCAAGTTTAACTTAACTTTCCTAGAATATAAGCCCTCTACCCCTTATTAAATAATCTAAAGTATAGTGCCTAAACAACCCTAACAATCCTAGATAACTTACCTAAGATATAATAATAAGGAGCTTTAGTACTAATAATTAGGCTATTTAGGACCTAAGGCGCTTAAAGCTCTAGTTAAGTTAGCAATAAATATTAGGATTAAAGGAACTCCTAGGAGCAAATGCGAGCACTACGCTATTATATATACCTAATAGGTTATATTAAGATAACTAAGGGAAAGATTACTACGTCTATACTACTAGGTATTATAGGATCTATTTAATATACTAATAGGTATAGCTTATAAGTAATAGATCTTAGTATTAAAGTGCGACTACTTAGGAAAGCTTTATACCTATCTACTATAAGCTAAAAACCTTAATAAGATTATATAGGTGTTTAAAATTTTTAAGAGCTTAATACTTAACTAATATAAGCTTAGTATAGTTAAGATTATACAAGACAATAACGTTGTAACACTCCCTTAGCGTAGTAAATCTTATTTTTAGATCTAGGTAGCTAATAATAGTATTAAAATTAAGAGCTTACCTATATATACCTATAAACCTAATAAAGGAGCAGAAAGAGTAGGGTAGGAGATTATAACAAAATTAATTAAAATAAGGATTAGTGCTAACCTACTAACAAAGCTCTAGCCTAAAATTATTAAAGTAGTAACTTAGCTCTATAATATAAGCCTGTCCTATACTTATAATATAATATTACCTAATAAAGTGCTAGATTGTTAGTTTACTAGATACTTTAGGTAGTGGCAACTAGAGTAGATAAGGGAGGTAACTACTAATCTCTGCCCTAATTAGAGCGGAATATACGCCTATAGCTATTAAGCTTACCCCCTTAATAGAGATTAAGTAGCTAGGCGTTACAAGAGGGTTTTTAAGGTAAACCCTTAGGGTTATATTAGATATCTAGTAGGATATAGAGCATCTAATATATATAGGATATAGATCCCCTTACTTAATTAGATTATTATAACGCAGAATATTACCTTTAATAAGGATCTTTTCTATAAAGAAAAAGATCTAAAGTAGCTTTAATAGTTAGAGGCTTAAAAGATAGTTAATATTATTAGTAAAGATAAGATCTATAATATAGGAGAAGTATATAAAGAGCTTAATAACTTTAATTAGCTTTGTATTGTAGTAGAGCAATATAAGGAGTCTAGTAAGCAAGGAGGACTAAACCTAGCGTAGGAGCTAGGGGGTAGGGTAGAGCTAGAGGAGGTAGATAATTAGGCTAGCTAGCCTAGTAATTCACAACCCCCTAAGCAGACACCTCTAGCGTAGGTACTAAGTATAGCTAGCTTAGTATAAAGGATCTATATAAAGTCCCCTAAGCTAATAGAGCTCTAAACTCCTAAACTAATACTAGAACTAAACTCTAGTATAGGAGATAAAAGATCTATATAGGTTATAGATTAGGGTCTTACTACCTAAGATAGTAGTAATCTAACTTACTTTAACGCTATAATAGGTAGCTCCTAGGAAAGACCTAGAGGGGAGAGTGCTATTAGTAGGTCACTCCTATAAGAGCACAGAGATAGGAGAGGGCACCCTATCTAGCTCTTATAGGGGTAGTAAGCAGAGCTCCTACCTACCTACTTTAGGACTA